GCACAGTATCCTACCTCTGTATGTGCAAATGAAGTATAGACATCTTTCTAGGTTATAAGTTTAAATAAAAGAAATTTGGTGAGTCAGTGGAAAAGAAACTAAATGTATTATTGAAGTCTTTTTTTAAACAGGAAGTCAGATTATATGCAACACTATAAAATCTGGGACAAAAGAGAAATATTTAATGCGATATTATTTTACCAATTTCCACAAAAAGCAAAACATACTTTAAAGAAAAAGCACATAGAATGTAGATCATTGCTTCCTCATCTGCAATTTTTTAAAAATATTATTTATTTTTGAAATCCCTGCTTTGTATTTATCCAAATATTTATCAAAATATTTACTTTGTTCAGCTCTGAAATGGACTGGCAATATAATCCAAATGTGAGATTACTCTTCAATCTCACTGTTTCTTTTTTCCTAACAGTTTTCTGATATCTTTATTTAAATTTATTCTATTGGGGATAATCAGCATGCTATGGTTCACCTTACATAAAGCCTACGGTAATGAAAATTTCTGAAGACTGATGTTTCTATGAATTATACCAGCAGAAATTCAACTCTGAATAACTCTGGTTATTGCAATGTAGTGAGATAGTAAAATTTTCCTGATTTCATTTAGAAGAGCTAGGGGTTACGTTCCGTTCTAGATTTCACTGAGCCTCCTCTCCTACAAGCTGAACAGTCCCAGCTCCCTCACCCTTACCTCACAGGAGAGTTGCTCCACTCCTGTAATCATCTTCGTGGCCCTTTGCTGGACTTTCTCCAGTAGCTCTATCTCTGTCTTGTATTGGGGAGCTATGGAATTACTCTATCAATATAGAATGCTACCAAACCTTTTAAGATATTTCAAAACCAAGTTTGAAATAAGAGTAAGATACATTGGGATTTATTCATACTCTTTTTCTTCAAATTAACTACCATCAGATGGTAACATTTTCTTGATATAACTTGATCCTAATACACAACAAAAGGCCATGGCAGAGAGGCAGTTAAGTTTTTCCAGCTTGCAGGGCATTCTCATCATAAGGATACCCAGTGTTAGCCAGACTACAACTTCTGGGATGTTTTTACACTTGAACCATTCAGCTGTGATTGTTCCACAAAGGGTTAAGAACTGGTTAGTAGTCTTACTACCGTTAACAAAATAATAAACAACCTTTTCCAAAAATGGTGTTGAATTAGTGTGTCTTCGCACAGCTTGTATGCAAGTCTACAGGGGGCTCCAAAACTCTTTGCAGTGATCTGTTTTGGATTAAATTAGTGTAATGCAATTTACAGCAGAAAATAATTTCTGAAAATATCAATTTCTCTTCCTATACTTAATCAGGAACGAAGGAATGAAGGAAGGGAGGAAGGAAGAAAAGGATAATATTCAATTCATTCATTCATCATTTCTTTTTCCATTTTAGACTGCAAGATTATTTCATCTGCTCTAATATGAGTTATAATTAATAGCATTAATAAGGTGCTTAGCCTACATTAAAACAAAATTAATGTTATTAGCCAGAGAATAACTCTCTAGGCATGTCACATGCAGTGACATTGTAACTGTGAATGCTTTAAACATTGCATTCTGTTAAACACATATCAGTATGCAAAAGCAGTAGAAATATGTAGTCTCAAAGCTTATTCAGATGCTTTTGCATTTAGTATTTTTGACATGGACTGTAATTATACCCTTCAATACTGGTTTAACTAGTCAAAACCATGAAACATTCAATGGAGTATTTTATTCATTTTTTATTTTTTTTTCCTTCTAGCATGGAGATTAATTGGTGTCCAATTAAATAATTTATTTTAAATAAATAAACAAATAAAAAGGGAGAGTTGTCTTTTATTTAGGGTTCTCAGTCCAAGTGGACTACTCTGTCTTCCTTTTAGAAAAGATGTTGCTTTTCCTCTCCTAAATGGCAGCTAAAGCCTTCTTTTGGATTCTAGTTGATCTCTCAAATCAGGGACACTGTTTAATGGTGGCTACTTAATTTCATGGTCCAATTTAATATAACTTTTTCTTCACTGGTATCTGACAATCATAACTTTTGCTCTGTTGTTCTCTCTCTCTTTTTTTTTTTTTGTTCATTTTAATCATCCTCAAAGGATTGTTATTTGCCACATAACAGATCATATATTGGAAGTTTCTTTTAGAATTGAATTGAGATTGGTGTTTTTTTTGCCTTTTTTTTTTTTTTCTTCCCTGGGAAGTGCAAATATTTTTGACATTATACTATAGTGCAGTTTTCCATACATTCATTTTCTTCTTATTATGATTTGTTGTCTTTAATGCAAGGATTTTATAACATATTGTTATATCTGGGATATTTTTTTCCTGTTCCTTTTGCAAATGACATTTCTCTATACATAAATATTTCTGTTCATTTCTGTTCAACAGATGATAAAATCTTTCTTTGTAGAAAGCTTATAGTTTTTACTTCTTCAGCTTTTCCAGGCGATTTTGTTTGACTTTCCTAGTAACATTTTAAGAGGCACTCCAAGAAAACACTGGTTACTGGCATCAGTAGTACAGTGAATAAATCTACTTTGTCTGACATGGTTGATTCATTAAGACTGGAATTTTCAGTGGAGGTTAATGGAAATAAGTGCTCCCTTCAAATGAAATAATAAAAAAAAAAGGCTATATTATTCCTTCAGCCTGCTTTGGAAATGTCAGACATAACTGTCTTGCATCATTTTAATAATGGAGGAGAAAGTAACAGAGAAACTAAACACATTTTCTCCCTCCTGGAGCCAATATGCAATCTGTCAACAGAGGAGTCTTACAAGACATAAGCCACACCAAGTAGCGAGACCCTCAGCTGAGACAAAATTTGGTATTTGTACACTAGTTTATGACAGCTGAGGGTCTGTTTCCTGATTAAACTAGCCCCACTGGCCCTGATGCTCCTGTAATGAATTATAAAGGACAACACTTAAAGAAACTCATGTTTCTCCTCTATTGAGCATGTTCAAAATTCTTACGCTATTGCTACTAGATATTTATCTCTGATTTATCCCAAGCTTTTTTTTAATACGTTGGTGTCCTGGTGTTTGACAGTTTGTTTGACACATCTCCTAAAAGCCTGTGGTCATTCTGGAACAGAGAAGTGACTTGCAATCTGTTACTACCTCTGCATTATTAGATATTCTCAAAGAGCAGCATGGCGGCTGCCTTGGTTTCCAACTTGTTTAAACCCTAGAGCTACTTTCCTGAAGGAGGCAGCAAAACCCAATGACAGCAGTAAATAATCAATTAATCTGGAACACTCTTACTACCTTGGAAAAGAAAAAGAAATAGAAAAATTAAACCTAGACAGTGAAAAGCTAATGCTTGGTAGTTTACCTCAGTGCAGGTGAAAACAGAAATGCCAGGACACTTGCATACATTTATCCAGCGCAAGCACTGGACTTACTAAATGCTGGTGGCCACTGACAGAAGTGATAAAGATTCAGTGTGTAATACAACTTGAATTAAATCTACTTCCTCTATACAAAATCAGACATAGAAAAGATTTCTTTTTTCTGCTCAGTCCCCCACATTGAAAGCTCTTCCTTTTATGTGTGTCACAGTTTTTCACAAGGCTTTTCCCCATTTGTTCATTTTTCCAAACACTGCACTAAATACATCACAAATCACTAAATGTACCGTGCTGTCTTTTGTCTCCTGTAAATGAGAACTCTTGTTCTGCAGCTGGAACTCTTAATGCAAAGAAATATACACGAGGTTTTACCATAGATGCTTGCATAGTTTAAAAATATGTATGTGTCAACGCTGAATTTCTGAAGATAGCCACTTTGCATTGGGTTGTACTAAGAACAGAATGAACTTGGGCTATATGGGAAGGAGGAATGTAAGCTGCTCTTTGGCTCCCAGTACTGCTTTTTTCCAAAACAATTATTTTAAAATATGAAGTGTTAGTTGTTTTCACAACTGGAATCAGAGTATTGCTCTCTATAAGTACATTAAGGAAGGCTGTAGTGATGTGGGGGTTGGTCTATTCTCCCATGTGCCTGGAGACAGGATGAGGGGGAATGGGCTAAAGTTGCACCAGGGGTGTTTTAGGTTGGGTATTAGGAAGAACTTCTTTACCAAGAGGGTTGTTAGGCATTGGAATGGGCTGCCCAGGAAGTGGTGGAGTCACCATCCCTGGAGGTCTTTAAAAGACGTTTATATGTTGAACTTAGTGATATGGTTTAGTGGAGGACTTGTTAAGTGTTAGGTCAGAGGCTGGCCTCGATGATCTTGAGATCTCTTCCAACCTAGACAATTCTGTGATTCTGTGATTCATTTTGATATGTCTAATGATAAAGGAAGCCTGCTGAAAGATGTAACAATTGACTGCTCCCAAGCCTCAAAGAGAACATTATTTTTACTGTTCTCCATGAAGATAAGTGAACCTCACCTGAGTGATTTCACAGATTGAGAGGACTTGCTTTTGTTAATAGTTAAATATAGTAGTTAAATAGTTAAATAGTCAAATAGTTGTTAATAGTGAATATTGCAGTCGTTTAATTTGAGAATATTTTGTTATTAGTATTCAGTGTGTAATACAACTTGAATTAAATCTACTTTCTCTATACAAAATCAGACATACAAAATTTTTTTTTTTCCTACTCAGTCCCCCACATTGAAAGCCCTTCCCTTTATGTGTCACAAGAGGACTGCAGAGGCCAGCAGTCCTCCATAAGCTCATGGGTTGGACTCAACTCACTCTACTTTAAATGTCCATAGTTAAGGTGTGTGTACATATATATCTCTGACGTGCATACGGACTACCTTTATTGTCGAAAAAAAGAGTAGGCATTTTTAGGACACTTTTGATCACATAGTAGATACCACAAGAGGTCAGATTATTGTGATTCCTAAATGACTGTTTCTTTCCCCCAGATATAAGGGACAAGTATGTCACATATGTTACAGACATCCAAATTGCAAAAGTCTGTGTTTGGTGGACATGAATGAATTATCTTCACTAATGTTAAAAGCACATGCAACATACCTACACTCCAGTCCATTTCCTCCACTGCATCTCCATATAAACCATGCTTGCTTTTTCCTCTAAACATGTTTGAAGCATATAGAGCTGTATGGACATGAAGATAAGACAGGACAAGAAGAAATGGCACATCAGTGTTCCTGAAGAAAAACAAAACAATGACAAAAGCAAATAACAAAAATATTTCTAGTGTATTTTATAATAAAAATTTCTAAGCAGAAACTTTTCAGCCCTAGAGCTCAAAAAGAGGAAAAGGAATACAACATAGGATAAAATAACTAATCATAGGGTAATCTTGATTATACACACGCACACACATGCACATGCACACACACACACACACACACACACAAAATGTGTGTGCATGCTCTTAAGTGCACACTGAACTGAAAGCAAAAATAAACAGTAAAATTTAACCAATTAGTTTGCTATATACGTTGAAAGAGGACTTAAAGCCTAGAACCTAGCATGTTCTGGCTATAAGCATCTCTATTCATTTTACAAGTACATATTTAAAAGCCCTAATACAATTGCTATTCAAAAACATATACCTATATGTGTGAAATATAATTACTTCCCTCACAAGGTCATAAGAAAGGTGATCAACTAATTATGAGGACCATATTATTGATCCCTATTATGAGGACCAGGGCTAAGCACACCATAGTATTACTGACTGTGCCAAACCAAGTATATGAGCACTTTTTCTCCTTTTCTCTCTTAGTCCTCTCACTAAGATTTATGCCAAAATCTTCTTTTGTCATTTACTGTGGTGTTTGCATGCATACAATTGGCACATAACACTACAAACATGTCACATTTGTATATGCTTTATCAAGGCATAAATAATCTTAAAATGCACACTAATACAAAGAAATATTTTCCTCTCACAGTAATGAATGGTCTCCATTGTTTTCAGCCTACTTCTTGAACTGAGACAAAAAAAAAGTGCAATAAATAGACTCTCTGTAAATTTTGCTGTTCATGTGATCTGTCAACATGATATTTATGATCAGTTCCAGCAGGCTGTGAAAGCAAAGCTCAAATAAGAACATTTCCTTATGCATTATTTATAGAACTTTACTTAAAAGTGTGCAGCACTAGCCGAATTTACTGCTATATGCTCTAACGGCATTTGTAGTACATCACACATACTGTAAATTTCAGTTGAATGACAAGAGCACTATCCAGAAAACTTGTCTGGATCTCACCTTAAGGCACACAGCTAATTACGGAGTATTTTTGATTTTATTGACCATATTTTCCCTTGCCACCTTTGTGGTGGATAATACATGTTATTCATGTCAACATCAAAGAGAAACTATATATTTCCTCATGCAGTTGATTCATACACCTTTTAAACGAATGGAAAAACAATACAGATATGCACGTGCAAATTGTTTCTTTAAAGTAAAAAATAAAATAAAATAAAATAAAATAAAATAAAAACTTATAGCCATCAAGAACCTGAAAACAGTCTTTTAATAAAAGAGATTGACATGACATCAATAATTGACTCCCAAGAAAAATTAAGCAGGATTAGTATAGTACATTTATGTGGATCATTTCTTCCTCACATTGGTTGGATATATTTTTGTGCAAGTCGCATGGTTAAAACTTTGTTTTTGTTTTTGTTTTTTTACTGGCACAGTGAGGCAGCAGTGAACAAAACAGGAAAATTTTATCCTGATTACTCACTTGATAGCTGTATTTCTGACTTGAATTTTTTTATTTTCCGTAAAAAGTTTCTACTTCTCAAAAAGAAAAAAGACCAAGCAATCACAGAATAAATAGTATATTTTTCATGTGAAAAATAGGGGAAAAAAAAAGAATATTTGAATTCCCTTCGTATACTTGTCCATATATCCTGTATTTTCATATAGGATACACGTATATGTCCATATACCTGTATTGGTAAACATGAACAATTATAAAGCACAGATTCATAAAAATAAAGAAAAGCAAATATTTTTCATAAAAGATTAACAAGAGATTGTATTTGTTGCTACTTGATATACATGGAAACCTTTCACCACTGTAGCAACAAATAATACAGGAGACTTCTGAGTCAATTAAAAAGACTAAAAATGTCAGCATTTCAAGTCAAAAAGATGTATACTTATAAATTTAATATTTAATGTATATATAAATATAACAGTGACCTTTTATTAAAGAACATTTCTGCAAGGCAGCTGATTTATTTTTTTTACAACCATGCATTTGTTACTGCATGAGATTATCTTCAGCTTTCTCCTTAAACACAGTTCACTGAATTGAGAGTAATGCATAATGCTAGGGTAAAATACCATAAAAATATACTTTGTACTCATAATAGTACATGCACAATTCACTTTTCATGGAAACTGTCTTGTTCTAATGTCACAGAGATAATGCATACTTCATATCTGTATTGCTAAAGGAGAGTATCAAATGCTATTTTCAAGAGATAATTTTTATTATTATTATTATTTTTATGGAACTCATACAAAGATCAAAGTTTCATAAAGAGGTATCTAATCAATGATTGATATAGAATGGCACTAAATCATTCTCTTTTTTGCAACTCAAATTGATAAGTTTTGATTGACAGCTTGCTGCCAGGTGGAGAAGTCTTACCTATTAATATCCTATAAAAGATCACAGGCAGTTATTTATCTCCTGCCAAAACTCCTTGAGAAGAACTGTAACAGACTACTTTTACAGTGACCTTGAAAACGGAATGACAATATCAGCTAGTAGGTAGGAGAGAAATTTGACATTAACAGCTTCTCTCTCCTGAACCACTTCAGTAAACAGCTCTTTCAAAAATGTATTGCCACTATCTTATACACACTTCAAACACAGGGAACTTCAGTTTCAAAAGATCTCAGGCTCACTTACCCAAACCTACCACGCAATTTTTATCGTAACACAAATCACGCAGTCTTTTCAATTTACTGAGTAGCCAGAAAGATTACATGCATCTGATATATGACATTCTTTAATGTGTACTTAACTGATCTTGACTCCTCTGCATTGCATAGTACTAGATTCTTCTTATTTAGGGTGAGGAGATTTTACATGACTCAAAGATTTAGTTCAGGCTTGAGCTGTAAAAAAACAGCTTTAAAGTGGATAAAAGAACAAATAACATCTAACCAGAAGTCTCCCTTCACATGCAAGTCCTTAACTTTTTCCTGCTATTTTGCTCTAAGTATTTGCTTCACTGAAAATGTCTTGGGTAAAGGAAAAACTCCTTTGGAAATTCCTTCTGTTTGATTTCCTGAGCGCTGATATCCATCCAAGACCACTGCAGCAGAGCAGCAGGTGAAGGTCAGGATTGCTGGCCTGTGGTTGTCAAATCAAAGGGATTTCCAGTATGACTCAATACTGTAAACTAGGTGGGAACATGGCATGACAGTGCTCCATTCTAATTGTTCACAGTAAATTCTACATTAACCTTTAATACTATGGACAAGTACAATCTTTCTGAACATTTTTTTTGCTAGATGTGAAATCATCCTCAAATTTCATCACAAAGTATACACATTTTTAACCGATTAGACTACAATATACCTTATACCTGTGTACCAGTGAAGGTACAATGATTCACAGCAGCTATGAAAGCCAACTACTTGGCTTTTCCCGAACAAGGCAAACGCTGTACTTTGTAAAAATTTGGTTGATTTCAGAACTCTAAATTCAGTACAACCTGCCAACTGCCTAATCTTAACATCTAGTGATGCATGGAAAAACTCTAAAAGACAGTCCACTAGAGTAGATGAAAATAAATCTACATATGTTTTGTAACAGTGTTTCAAGCACTGAGATAGAATAGCTAAGAAGTAAATAAAAAAAATATTAACTGGCATCACAAACTTTTGAATATTATGGTTATGCAATCTATGATAGGAAAAAAGTAAATCTGCATGAAAATTGCTCAATAACATCTTCACCATCGTTTTCAATTATAAACTTATAATGTAAATGTTTTTTTCCAGAACTTAGACTTCATTAGGATTTTAAATTATTGCAATTATTAATTGCGATCAACTATCTGAATTTGTTAGAGATTCTGTAACATAATGTGGTATTTTTGTCTTGCTAGTATCTAAGATGTTAAAAACAGGTTTCTGGCATTTTCTGATTTGTATTGTTTGTGTAACCGGTCATCTATTAAAGGGCATGTTGAAGAGACATGAGTGACAACCACATCGAACTCAAAATTAAATAATTAGCATCCATTTGACTTTCAGATATATTGCAATGTCTAGAGAGTATTCAGATAGGTTTAAAATATGTACACACACTTGCTCATGGGAAAAAGTAATTGGAGTTAACATACAGTGAGCTGACCTGCCCACTTACAATTAGGGTGAACAACTAAATTTGTGTTTGTTTTCTCTAGAGCCAACACATGTAATTGCATATGTTCTTCTTCAGTATCATTTTGAGCATTTGCTATCTTTCGATCTACCTAGGAGCAAAAGAAAATAGTTATACACATATACTAGACTAAGGAAGAACAAACACAGTATCAGCCTTCCAAAAAACAGACCAAAGAAAAGTAAGTATAACAGTGCATACACTGTAAAGAAATTCTAGGAAGGATTGAAAAATATCAGAAGTAATGATTATATGTATGTTAAGAAATCATATAGCCAGCAATATGACGGAAATAACTAGCAAGGAGAACAATGTCAGTCAGGAAATCCATGGCCTGAGCTCTGAAGAACATGCAAAGGTTATATAGATAATAGCTATAATAAACTTACATGGATAAAATACATGTTTTATGCTGTATGCTGTATTTGTTATACACATAACTACATATATATATAAATTATAGAAAGGCTACAGAGAAGTACAAGTGCTGCTGACAAGGGGAACTTCATCATAAGATAAATAACCAATTAAAACATGCATAATTGTTTGAGTTTTAGTTAGATGATAGAATGTATTAAGAACCAGAAAAAGTAGATGACTCAATTCTTCAAATTCACGATCCTTTAAACTATAATATACTTGTACGCATAGGTTACTGCTGTACAGGACTTAAATTGCTACTTACCATATTACTGAAACAAAAGAAGCCTGTATGACAAATCAAGTGCTGAGCTGAATGAGTGGCTAAAAGAGGTTTGCTCACAGAAAGAAGTGCAACTGCAAGAATAATGTGGAGCAACCATAGCATGGTGGTCCTTTGCTTTTCTGTCTGTCTGCTGTTACAACCTTGATTGCCAATCCCATACAAATAGCCAAAGTCAGAAGATTAGTCACAAAAGCAATGGTCTGCTGGCACACTAGAGTTGATAGGTATAAACTGTCAGAACTAGCATGTCAAAGCAAATATTGATTTTGTTGCTCATACTATTACATGGGGCAGATCAGTTCACTGTATATTAATCTAATTACTCTTTTCCCCAGGAGCAAGTTTTATGGCCATATACTTTGCATGTGAAGTCACTACAGGGCACAGTTAAGATTGCTTGGATGCCCAAATTGCTTCTCAATACCTTAATATGTTTGGATATTTTTAAATTTAACACGGACTCTAAATTGCCTGGGTTATAATTCTCAATATAATTGCAACTTTCCTGTAATGAAGTTTATTGTATATTACCAATATATGCTATTAACCTTCACTTCAATTTTACATAACTGTTGTCTGGAAAGTACTCTGAGAACTGGGGCCAAGAGCCCAGATAATGTAAAACCTCAACCTCCAGCTGAGTCAACAGAGCTATGCTGACTCAGATTGTATGTTGTTTTGCCAGCTCTAAACACTAAGTTACACAATAGCACCGTATGCATTATGAAAATTAATAAAATTAATAGAGTAAATTTTATTAGAGTTATTATTTTTATTAGAGTTATTACCAGTGCAATAGTACTCTAGCATTCATTCCCAATCTTGAACTCACCTGTTTTAGGGATATTATTTTATTTACATTACGCTGAAATCATTGAACAACTCAGAGATGTCCAAAACATTATGAATCACTATAGAAACATTATACTCTTATAAAGAAAGGAAGAATTTGCCATCACATGGTTAACGTCTTCAAAAGACATTTTAAATCATCAAATGATTGGTCACTAAGCAAATATCTTCTCAAATATTTCCAAAAGGGTGTGTGCATGTGCTTGTGTGCTTTTGTAGTGAACAAAGTATTTAACTGTTAAGTTAGTTAGAATGTAGATGAGGTGTTCTTATCACCATTGACAAGAGGAAATAATGATGCGTTAGTTTAGTTATAAATACTCATGATAATGTTGATTGTTGGGAAGACTTACTTAAAGAAATTTGATTTAAAAAACATTTTATCTTGTTATCATGAGTAGAGATGGCCAAACCAAATATTTATAATGAGAGAAACGAATGAAAAATTGCAGTTAGAGATCAAGATTTCAGATAAGCATTTTTTCTCGCTAACAGTCTTGATGACTGTTAGCGAGATGACTGCATGCAGTCATTAAATCTAGAAAAAAATAGCTCCCGATTAATTGGTATAAATTTTAATTCAGCAATAATACTATGTGAATGTATTCAAAGTTACTACTAGGTATGTAGTTTTCATCATTTAATGCGTGCACTAAATCAAGGATGAAGAGCAGCTTCTCATTCCAGAAAACTCATAAATTACAACTCTGCATTGCGCTTCCATATAATGAAGTCACACTGCAAAATACTTTTCATATTCTTGTTTAGATGAAATTCCAAAGAATTAAAAGTCCTTAAAAATGTTAAAAATATAACGGGTGTTTTAAAATATTTTTTTCTGAAACATAAACATTAATAGTTTTTAATTTTTATAGAGAAAATAATGACATACCTAACAATAAAACTACAGAGATGGAGACAAAGCAGGAAGAGATTACGTTTTTACCCCATGCATACATACTGTTATTGGGAAACAGTCACTTTCACTAAAAAAGATTAACTTCAGTCATCGTTTAAAGAAAAAAGTGATAATATATCATGGCATATTCCTCTTGCACAACAGTTCACATAATCTACTTTTTAAGAAGCGCTGTCATTGCAAAATGCCAGCATTAACTCATAACACAGTTAGAAACCTACCTTCCTATAAACTGTACAGCTTCTGTTGTCAATCTCTGAGTAAGATTCTCATAGGATAGTGGCTGCTGGATAATCTGATGGTCCCTCATTAAGAAGCAGTTCAGGTGTCGAAAATGATAAAAGAAAAAAATCAAAACCGCAAGTGAAATAGCTGTTAATAACAGGCAGTAGCCCAGTGCTTGGAAAGGTACTTTGAGGAGGCCAACATAATGCACTACTGCCAAAGAGACCAGGGTGACTCCAAGGATTTGGACTGGGATGACAAGGTACTTCTGAATCCCTTTTAAAAATACGCTGCCTTGGCCAGGTTTGCAGTCTCTAAGATTGGTCACGGTGAGCCCATAAAAGTAATCAAATCCATGACTGAGGGGGTGGTGACAGAAGTCATTACTGCTTTCACAGTTCATCCCAAGATGCCATTTTCCTATAAAGAGAGGAGGACAGGGAGCATTTCTGTAGTTAAATCATCAAACTTACAATGTGCGCTACTCCAAATATGAAACTGTCACTATCTGACTGATACCCTCACCTCCCCAGCCCCAGCATTTATTGTGTGGATCCCTATTTTCTATATAACCTTTCTTAATACCTTCATCAAAGACTTTGTTTCATGTCTGCTCTTCTTTTTAGTTAGAAATAGTTTGGCAGATCTCCTGATGGAGACCATTAAATTCTGAGTGGGCTAGCAGGTCACTGAAGAGCAACAGAGCTCTAACACAGCTTTGAAAATGAAGCCTTTGTGCATGTGTAGTTAAGTAGTCATAAGAAAATAGTGTTTTGTAGTGGCTGCTGCTTTCTGAGAAAGAGCCAATGTGGAGCTATGAAATATCTTTTCTGAAATTTATCTGGCAAGTCATTCACTTAAAAAAAAAAAAAGTAACATAGGAAATAAAACAAGAATAATGAAATTACCAAGGCATTTACTATTTAAATGATTGCAAAGTCTCTGAAATTGCATTCTCCCTCACTATATATATATATGCACACTTTCATATATGAAAAAAGTAGTAAGGAGTAAATTGCCAGCAAATACTGCCTCTCACAGCAGTTTGTCTCATTAGGAAATTATTCTAATTCTGCAGTAATGGTGGACACTGACACAAGGAAATGGTGAGTTTGATTCTCATTATAGTGGCATAATCTGTGTTCATGCTGATTAAAATAAGTATTTAGATAATTCATTCTGTGACTCAAGTACAACCCCTTACCATATGCTTATGCATTGATTAGCACAATGGACCTAACTGTTTGGTAGCTGTTATTTAAAATGTAATGCAAAACAGGGAAAAATCAAATTTGGTTATGCTTCTAAATATACTTTATGGTTAAAGCAATGCTCTTTGGTACCAGCAATGAAATGTGTTGAATATTTGACAAAACTTCCAGTGTCACCTTTGATAAAACAGATAATTTATATTGCTGGGCCAAATTTTATCTATTCTTTCTAATTTAAATAACTAAATATGTCCAGTGTTAAGTCAGGGTATGTGATACTAGAGGAATTAAAAAACCCAAACCCAGTAAGCCTTCAACCCTACTTCTAGATATGCTTGGTAGAAAATACATGAAAGAAATAAAGCACATACAGAAATCTCCCTTTTCCCTTAACCATTCCAGCAAAAACTCTTCTGCATTTATAAGAAAAGTTTTGATGCAGGCAGCTCTGGGCATCTCCTGGGCCTAAAGAGCAGCACTTCTACCTTTGACAGTGACAAATGAAGGGTCTGCAGTATCAAAGAGGGTGAAGATGAAGGTTAGTTCTGATTTTTTGAATCAGTATACAACACGTGGGCTCAGTAATCATTATTTCTCTTTCACAAATGGCAAAACTAAGGTATGACACGTGAATGACATTTGCCGAAGTTCACTCATTGTCATAAATTTACCTTACTGTCTTTATGAAATAATTGTAAAGCCAGATGTCTAGTGAGTTCAGCATCTAACTATTCTCACAAGGTTGGATGAACGAAGTAAATACAGTGGCTTGCAACCATGAATGTACAGAAAGTTTTAAAGATTTTAATTTTTAATTTCCTGCTTTTACTTGTCAAATTCAAAGCACCTATATGTAGGGAAAAAAAAAGAGATAGAAACTTAAACAAATAAAATACATTTTCGAGGTCATTTAGTATGATACAAACAATCTTATTTAAACTGGAGCTCAATAAAACTAGACACTGCAAGCAAGGACAGAAGAATCTTGCAACAACACTTTAAAGACAGGGGACAATATAGGACTTATTTTTACCAAAACGTTTTTAGCAAGCACAACAAATTCTTCAGTATCAAGATGAACTTATGCTTCAGAAAAGATTTGCTCAGAAGCAACTTACGATAAACAAAGGAGAGAGCAGGCTAGCTGGGCCTAGAATAGAAGCACATGTTCAAATTACACTAGCAATTGTGACTGAAGGACACAATTGCCATTTTTTAAAGGCTGATGAGGTTGAGTGTTTTGATACATCCTGCGCTACTCTGAAAAAGCAAGTGATGATTGGGTCCACAATACATTTGTTTTGCTTCTTTAACTTCATTTATCATCATCTTTGCCATCCTTGTTACAATGCTCTCACATCTCTCCTGAAGTCAAGCTGCATAGTTTGGATGTTTCAGACAAGCATTAGACAAATTTCAACAGATTCCACCAAGCTTATGAGATAAATTTATTCTGCTAATTGTACATTATATGAGTACCTTACTTATTTGAAACCTATGCTTTTTTCACTCACCTTCTGTCACTATTAACATATCTGCAGAGCACAGGCAATGCAATGAAAGACAAATAGACATAAGAAGGAAGTCCTTTTCAGCTAAGAAACCTCATCTGGAATTCAGTTATTCAGAATCCAAAATGCTGGGCAGGCTGCTATAATCCATGTTTTCCCTCTACTTTTCCCTCAGACAGTTGAAAAGAGCAGTCTGAAGACTGAGTCGTATATGCTAATAATCTTTCTTTTTGTACAGTTTTGTGCTCTTCATATAAATGATAAGATACAAGATGCAGACAAAAATATTTTATGTGCTCAAATAAATGTATTTAAATTAAATACATAGTAGGAATGATAATATAAAGTATTAATGTATACAACATTATTGTAACATTTTAAGCTGTTCTATTAAAAACAAAACAGCTCAATTAATTCTACTGAATAGATTCAGACAGTCTTATATTTCTCACTACTGTGATAGTATGTCCAAATATTACAACATCTCATTCTGGAGGAAAGGTATGAAACCCAATTTATCAATTAGTATTTTAACTTTGAAAATAAGCTATATAGGTGGCTTTTAAATTTCTTTGGATGCTAGACAACACATTGAATAACAATTGTAATTATGTATAGCTGTAGATAAAACAGTATCAATGTATTTATAGCAGTAGTTAAAACAATACCCATCTATTTTCAGTGCAATTTTTGGATTATGAGTAGCTATTTCCCACAAAACATAATAATTTCTTGTTACTATTTAGGATCCTTAACTGGTGAGACAGTAGAAATTCAATGTATCTGCACTTTTTGAGAAAACTTGGTTTTGTTGCAGATCTTCTGAATTTGTCTGCTCCTGCCAGATCTATTGGATGTCACCTTCTGTGTGTCACGGGGGAAGAGCAATGAGGTAAAAAAGTGTATACATAAAATAGATTTATAGCTAAAATGTATTTAGGGATGTATCAAGCAAGAGGAAACATATTCAGAGCAGGAAAAAAAATAAAAATAGAAAGGAAAATGCCTTTAGAGAGGGAAAAAATGTCCTTAGAGAGTAGAGAGGAGAGAAACTTGGTGAAAAAAAAAGAAAGGATGGCACAGGTCTGAGGAATAGAAAGGCTTCAAATTATCCTTATGTCAATCCATCACTAAAGCAGGATTTGACAATTAATTGTTTGGGAACTGCTGAGTTAGACTGAACAAAGCAAAGACTCCCTGACCTAGAATAAAACGATGTGATAAGAATGCCAGCAGAGACAGAAAATGGGCTGGTTGGGAATCAGAGTCTGCCTATCTAGTCTTCAAATCTACATATCTTTTCTTTTTGTCATTTACATATGCTTATCCTTAATTTTAATACTCTTCTTGATTTTTTGGAAGTGTTCATTATACTCTAAGGGTATGGTAATATTACATCTTATGGTTTCATAGCTATCATTCAGGCCACTTGAAGACCTGTTCATTAAACATCATGGAGATAACTTCTGGAGGTCTAAGTGGCAAGCTGTCATATTGCAGTGACAGTAGTTAAAAAAAGAACATTAACTAGGTCAGCACCCCTAAATGTGTATTACATGTGCATAAGCATTACAGTGCTTATTACAACTGTAAAAATGTGTTTGTTTGTTTGTTTTTTTTGTCAGTCTTCTTTAATTGAATATGGATCAATAAGAGTTAACTCCATCATGAACATGACAAAATATATATTTTTTTTCTACTGTAGTTCAAATATACATGCACTAATTATATTTCTGTTAAGGTATTCTGTTTTTCTGTTTTGAATCTGTTGAATGAAAAAAATGCTGTGTATTTATGCAATCTTACCTATTAGAGCTGTTGCATAACCTCTTTGCTTCAGGAGTTTTGAAAATGTTATTTCTTCAGAAGGAAGTCCACCAGAAGAAGCAGAAAATAAGAAGACACCAACTCGTGAAAAGGCAGCCATTCCTAAATATAATGAAAATGAATGAGACAGATGATAGAGTGAAAGTTTTAATTCATTCTTTCTGCATGCACATTTTTGCTTTAAGTGGTATCACTTAAATGACATATTACTAGCAGTCACTGTGAAATGCAAGTGGGAGATACTATCATCTATTTAGTAAGTAAAGTCTTTCCTGTATTTTCACCAGAAATTGAGAAGTAGAGAAAAAGAAAATACTCTGGGTGTAACTGTGGGGGCAGCCATTGCATAAAGAGCTGCAAGCCTTTCTGTAGGTATTCTGAAGTATAAAATAACTGGAAGAAGTTGAGCTAGCATAACTTATTTTTCTTGTACACAGGAAAGGATTGGAGCTGAGGACTAAGCGAGAGTACTCCCAAATTTGACTCCCAAAACTCCCACTTCCCTCATATGTGTTTTTCTACATGATCTTAAGTTTATTTGAGAGAAGTCAGTTGAAGGAGGGCAGTTTTACAGCTAGGCACATAAATACCATGAGGTCAGAAAAGAGGAAGAGAGTCTGATTCTAGACTTAGCTAGGACACTCAGCTTTCAGCTTTCAGTGTTCCACAAACCAGTGCACAAACACACATGATTAATCAATACAGTACTGAGTGCGTTAAAGCAGAATCAGGCATCAGCTAGTACAACATCTAAATAAAGCACAGTAATTTCTATACACTGAAAGTCTGAGAAACAGAAACCTGAGCTTATAGGCTATTCTCAGGATGAGGAACTTGAAAACTCAGGTTCATGAAAATTAGATCACTGGGATTCCAGATGAGAGCTGGCTCAGAGTACAGACAGACAGAACACACAGTATCTATGCAAATCTGTGCAGATGTATCTTCAGGAAGTCTGAATTATGCAACTTGGATGATTACAGTGCCAAAGTTACATGATTGATGTAGACAACCAGAATCTTCCCTCAGGTATCCATTGTGGTTAGAAGAAAAAAAGACTTGTTAGACTAGTTTATTAAAGAGATCTCAACCTACCTTTCAAATGCTGACTACATTTTTTTTTTCATCCCAGCCAGCAAAGTCAGTTTTATTGATCAACGGTTTAGGCAGCTTTAGTAAGCTATACATATCTATACTTCATTTCAAGGTGTACTTTTATCTTTCGTAACTGTAATCAATATAATTCCTTTAAGTTACAAGAAGCAAAGCACTGAACCATTTTTATTTCTTTTTCACCATTACTTTTCTCTGAGCTTGCATCTCATGAAATACCACATTTTGGAATATTTTTCTGTAGTTTTAGGAGTTTTACATTTCTATCTTCCTTTTCCATACTGTGGTTCTAGTACCTTCTACAATTATTCTGTACTAGTTCTTCACTGGTGTTTAAAAACAGTCTGTATTTAGCAATTTCATAATTTAAGACAAAGTTCAATTTTCCACATACATGGAAATGATTAGTATGGCTGAAAACAGATCAGTTAAGAGAAAAAATCAGTTCAAATGCTAATTTTTCATAAGTAATAACAAGGATCATAATGGAAAGTGACCTGTGGCTTTACCTATTGTAAATATTAATAGAAACATAGCTGTAAAAGGTATATAAAATTTTCCTTTGCAGCTGAATGTAATGGAAAATTTAGCAAGTTATATTAGCTGGCACTTTTGCAGAAGCTTGTTACTTGATTTGAATGAACATGAACGTATCAAGTAGGCTCCAGAGTCTTGCTTTGCTTTCATTCCCAGAAGCAAGGACAGGATGTTTTATCACTAATGAACAAGTGATCTGATTAATGTATAATGATCCTTGCTAAAAATGATGTTGAGGGAATGTTAAAGTTGCATGGCTAAGCACTGAGGGGCTCAGTCCCTGCACACAAAAATAAACAGACTGGTTCTGTATTGTCTCAAATGGGCTTTGGTTTTAAAAAGTAATAGAAGTTACATGTATTCATAGGATACTTAACAATGTGTATGGGAAATATGGAACAAATGGAACAAAATTACTTAGAAAGAAGGGAGATTTTTTTTGCTTTATTCACAGTTTTAAGAGTTTGTGGAATATTTTAACAAACTGACTTTTTTCTTTTTTTTTTTTTTTCTTCTTCCCATAACCAATTAGTCTAAACCAAAAGGTTTCATACAAATAGAAATATTGCAGCAGGAGAATTTAAACTGGTTTCTTCCCTTGTGTCTTGTTAAAATCATCTCTGTAATATTCAACACTCAGCTGCCACCAACACCCTAGGAGAAGCCTAAACACAACTGAACAGGCAAAGAGCTCACAGTCTTTGGACAGTGGATGAAGTCAATGGAATAGGCTGCTCCTTCCATTGAATAACCACAATCAGATTTTCTCCTCTGTATTAAAAAAAGTCTTCTTGATAAAAAGCTATATTGTCAGTGCAAAGTCTTCAGAAGTGAAATGATTTCCCGTTATATAAGATTTCAAATGCTGACCAACTTTGCTGAGCTTGATTAGGCACTTAAATGAGTACCTAACCTGGTTAAGACACAAAAAAGGCCAGGGAAAAAAGCACGCTGTTTACTTGAATAAAACATATATATAAATAAATTATTCAAATTTTACCTGATCTGATTGGATATCTCCCTGTCAGGAAAGCTGCCCTGCTTGGAGTACACAGTGGGGATGCTGCTATATGCTGAGTAAGTGTCACTCCTTCCTTTGCTAGCCTGTCAATATAAGGGGTTCTAGAAAAACAAAAAATAATTGGGAAAAAAAAAAAGAGAGAGAGAATACACAGATATGATTATTTGGAAATGGGCATGGTTGAGATCAAGGCATCTGAGGCAAAAACTACCAGGAAAATCAAGACTACTGTATTCAAATTATCAAAACCATGGTGGTCTTGCAATATCATACCAAATATTTTTACACTGGGTGTCAACATCAAACTGAGACACCATGGCATTGTGCCAAAAATATTTTTCCCTTCTTTCACCTGGTCTTTGTGGTCAGTACTATACTGTAACAGATGGACATGTTGTATTTCAACCCTTCTTAATTCATTCCTTGAACTATGATTGTAACTCTGTTATATGGCCTTTCTGCTTCTGCAATAGGGAGGGAGAGGCTGAAAAAAGTTGTGCTTCTTCATTTCATACTTAGTGGCGTTTTTCCCTTTCCCCAGCAAAGTTTTTGTGTATGTGGTGTTATCTGATATTAAGAGAGATTCAGATGGTCGTGACTTGGTTCTGGACTCTATATTAATGATGTTTACAGATCAAGTCTGTAATATTAGATCCAGGAGAACATCCAAGTTTCCATATCTGCAAGGCAGTTTTCCATATCTGCCTTGTCTGTGACCTGGCTCAACATGCAGATCAAAGCTGGTTGCTGCAGGAATAAATCTATGCCCTTAATTCTACAGGAAGAAAACTACAAATGCAGAATGGCCAGGACCTGCAGCATGCTCAGGTAGGTCCCTGACCTACAAATACTAATACTAATGACCATGATCTCAAGGAACACTAGTCCCTTCATCTAGCTTGGATACAGTCAAAAACATTAATTTTCCAACAGAATTTTTGCTATTACTAACAACACATATAGATAGCAAGCAGTATGATGGAATTTCCTCATACTCCAAAGATGTAATTCCGAATCATCACATCAGATAGTTTAGTATTCGAACAGTGTTGTATATACTCTTTTCCTTTTTTAAACCTAGAAAATATAACGAGTTCTTTCTGTTTAGTTTGCCTTGCCAGAAGTTTTCACTTCCAACAAACTTCAACAGAAACAAGAGTATTTAACCCATGACAGGATGGTACTCGTAGTCTGAATTTTATTTTTTTTTATTTTAACTTGGTAAAAGCTTAATTTTGAACCACTGAAACGCAGCAACTAGACAAAACTTGTGCTTTTTAAACAACCATCATACCCAAGTTTGTAGTAAGGATCATACTGGGTGACACTGCTGAATTAATCAAGTATATTAACATTGGGTTTAATGAATTTAAATGACTACAGCACAAAGATAAATTAAGAAAAAAAAAACCACAGCACTTAATTTCCAATTAGTGAGAAGGTCATTTCAAATCACAAGAGTGCTTCAAAACATGGTTAATTCATATTTGTGCCAAATAATTTTTAAAATAGTTGATTTTATTTTGCTTTTCTGTAATCACATTGGGTTTCCGTATTGGGTTTACATGCCAAGCTTTTGGTAGCAGGGGGGCTGCAGAGGTGTCCTCTGTGAGCAGAGCCCAGCAGCTGCCCCATGTCAGACCAGAGCCAGTTCCAGCCAGCTCCAAAAGGGACCTGCTGCTGGCCAGAGCTGAGTCAAGGAGTGATACTGGGTAGGCTTCTGGGAGAGCAGAGTTAAGAAAGGGAAAACAAACAAAAAACCTTCTGTGCAGCAGCAGCTGGGAGAGAGGAGTGAGCACACGTGAGATAAACAGTCTTGCAGACCCCAAGGTGAGTGCAGCAGGAGGGCAGGAGGTGCTCCAGGCAAGCAGCAGCAGTTCCCCTGCAGCCTGTGGAGAGGCCCCTGGTGGAGCAGGCTGTCCCCCTGCAGCCCATGGGTCCCACATGGAGCAGATCTCCACGCTGCAGCCCCCCCATGGGTGGAGGAGCCTCTAGTGGAGCAGGTGGATGTGGCCTGGAGGAGGCTGTGGCCCATGGAGAGCCCCCGCAGGAGCAGGCCCTGAGCTGGAGCTGCAGCCCGTGGAGAGGAGCCCACACAGGAGCAGGGGTCTGGGGGGAGCTGCCGCCCACCCGTGGGGGACCCATGCTGGAGCAGTTTGCTCCTGGGGGATGGACCCCGTGGAACGGAGCCATGTGGGAGCAATTCTTGAAGAGCTGCTGCCTGTGGACAGCCCCCGCAGGCTCAGCTGGGGAAGGACGGCATCCTATGGGAGGGACCCCACGTGGAGCAGGGGCAGAGTGACCGTGAAGGAGCGGTGGAGATGCAGTGTCAGGGACTGACTGCAGCCCCCATTTCCTTTTGCACTGCACCCCTTGGGGGAAGGACATAGAATAAGGTGGATGGGGGGTAGGTGTTTTGCTTTTAGTTTCTCACTGCTCTAGTTTGCTAGTGATAGGCAATAAATTAAATAATAAATTAATAATAAATATTAATCTCTTTTGTGCTGAGTCTGTTTTGCCCATGGTGGTAATTGTTAAGAGATCTCCCTGTCCTTATCTCAATTCATGAGACTTTATTCATGTTTTCTTCCCTTGTCCTTTTGTGGAGTGGGAGTAAGAAAGCAATGTGGTGGAGCTTAACAAACCATCAGCATGAAACCACCACAGTTGCTCTCTAAATTCTGTTTATGATGCAACTTTTCAGCAAAGTGAATGCATCAGCTAAGTCTTTTTGCTTTATTAAAAAAAAAAAAAAAAAAAAAAAGAAAGGAAAAAAGAAAGAGAGAGAACAAAGGTTGAGTATTCTATTCTGTGGAAAGGTTATTAACTTTTGAAACTTATAAATTACCTATTACAATCTCAGTTTTTTAATCTCAGTTTTTTCTTTTTTTTTTTTTTTCTCTCCTCTTTTTTTTAATCTTTTAATTTACAAATACATAGAAAGAATTAAATATAAAGGTATGACTCCCCTCAGACATATCATCATACCTTAAGGTTCTGTTCCCATAACATCCCAGGTCTCCAATACCAAGATCATCTGCCATCAGCAAAACGACATTGGGATTTGAAACACTGTAGGTATGGATGCTATTTATGGCATACTGGCAAACTGTTAGAAATAACAGGAGTCTCATCTTCTTCCTGGTGTATAAGAACAGGAGGAAAACATAACATATATAGAACTTTTCTTTTTAAAATTAGACTGTTGATCTAATGCAGTCCTATTATTGCCATGGATTCAATAGGGAAAAAAAATTAGATTCTCTATTTTTATTTGGCTTCTTTTTCTTAAGAGATATTTAACATTATTTTCTCTCTCATAGTTTTTAAAATTAAAAATGCATCTTTTAAAATACAGCTCATCACTCCTTCCAAATCTTTACAAAGATTAAGCTTTTAAATAAATAAATAATAAAGAAAGAAAGAAGTAATTACAAACTCAGTGATAGTACTTTTGTGTACACAGATGCACTACACAGCAATAAATCACAGCAATATAAGTGTTTTTTTTTTAAGTTATAAATGTGATTTGAGTAACACAGAAACTGAAGTCATTTAGAAAATTTAGAAGGTTCACTGCAGAAAAAAAAGTTCATCAATTTTACTACTGAAGTAAGTGACTGAATTTTTCTTCAACAAGAGGAAAAAATTTAGCTCCAGTTTCTTGACAGAAAGAAGTATTAGAGCAGAGGGGATAAAGAGATGCACTACCAAGTTACTGAAAGGAATGTTTCAGAAAAAAATATTCATAAACATCAGGGCCTATAGTAAAATTATGTAAAAATATTTGATATCATATCCCATTGTTCTACAAACAAAGCTCATGCTTTATCCAACTTCAAACAGGAAGAGTACTGTACTGTACACAGTGCTACATACAATTATATTCTTTTATGATAAGAGCACAGTTTATTTGTAGATGTACGTGCTATGAATACTACTTTGCCTAAATAGGGACTTGTCAAATCTCTGCTTTAAACTGCATTAACTGTGCCCTGGCTGAACTTGAGTGCCTCAGGCTCTGATGGACTATGTCAGGTATAACCATTAAAAGAGAACTGAGACTCTCTTTTGCCCCTAGTAATACTGCTATCTTTTCTGGATTCAGGCAGCCTTTTTCAAACACAAATGAGGCACGAGTCCCACCTGCACACTGGATTATGCTGGGACAGAATTGAAAGAGGAGGAAACCTTCCAGGTTCTGTTGGGGTAGAAATTTGAAAGTGAGAGTGAAAAAATGAACTAGAAACAAGAATTTCCAGAGAGAATGGGGACAGCAGGTCAGGGAGGAAGAAGTTGTAAATCAGTGAGTTATGGCAGATAAAAGTAACTGGAGAGAAGATAAAGAAACCACAACTGGAAGAGCCTGTACAAAGAAACTAGACATCAAGGGAGTCAGATTTATAAATCAGTGAGGTGTGGTGGGTAAAAGTATCCATAAAGACAAAGTAGTCAGAACTGGTAGAGCTTGCTCTGACTTGAATAAAAAGCAAGGAAGGAAACTTGAGACCCAGCTGGAATGAGAATTATGGTTTGAAATAAGGAAATGTCAGAAGGTTTAAGAAGCTGAAAGAAATATTACGACAATGGATAGACAAACTGAGGAAAAGAGGTGTGAAGTAGGAATATGTGGGATGAAAAGGCTGAGAAGCTATGATTAAAGAAGAAGAAAGGAACTTGTTGGAAAGAGACTCCACAGATAAGACTTGGGACTGACAAAAATGAGAAGAGATCAAGATACAGGGGATGAACTAGACTTCAGGTTCCCAATATTGCCCTTCTGTGAGACAGCAGAGGTGCAAATATGATTTAAACTCTTTTAGTGCCCGTTCACATACAGGTAGAACACTAATAAGTATATTAGCTATTTCTAACTGCTTACTGTACACTTTAAAACCCATTGACCTCACTTTGATGCCAGTGCTTGGGGTTTAGACTTAGCTGACCACACCTAAAGATCCTTGCAGCAGCTGAACTTTACATGGTTCATTTCATGGACACAGTTTATGTTCTTTCAGACATGAAAAATACACACACAGACTTTAAAACACTAAACACAGTTCTGCTTGGCTAGATGCATCTAACCAACCCTTCCTCAAGTTACAATACTAAGGAAAAGGCATAGCACCTTTCACAGTGCACTTTTAACCCATGCAGTAAGTTTACCTTTCTTCCCTGAAAGGATAAACATATGTGACTTGCTTCCCACGTTCTGTAAGTTAACATCTAACACACTGATCACAGGGACAACCTAAGTAAGAATCTTACGTTCCTGCTGTTCAGACTGCTAGGGACATTGGAAAGGGTAACGTGTATATTGGTGACACTTTATACAGAGTCGCATGGACATTCATGGGACCTGCGCATTTACTTCACAGAATTACTAAGTGCCCTCAGTACTGCAGTAGGCTTCACGTTGTCTGAATAAAACCTAGAAATATACACTCCTGCCACTGATAAAACCATCATTTTACAGGCATCAAGCTAGATGGTTTTGTAAGTATTACAAATAGTAATTCCAAAGTTTAATTCAGCTGATATAAACAAAACATCCTGTGTTTTAATCGGAAGGTACAGAGCTATGGAGAGTGGTATTTTTGAGTATGTAAGGGGTCTTTAGTCACCAATGAACATAAAAAAAATAATTTTCATTTAACAGAGCAGAGTTACTGTTAGAAGCCAGAGTAGCAGCTGTATTTTATTTTCCAGAATTAAATAGTGAAATATTTTAGAACTGAACTAACTACTATTTACCTGAATTTTAAAGAGATCTCAAATCTGGGGTAGAAACTAAAATCAGTTGAATAATAGTTTATTCACTGAAATACGTAAGAAAATTAATCACCTTTAAGGTCAAACTTTAATATCTCCTGCTGTGTATTTTATATAGCCTCTTCATAGAATATTTTAGAATAGAAAATTTATCCTGAAGGAGTATCTGTAGAGGCTCTTACACTTTGGATTGTTTGCTTCCACCTGATAGTGAAGTGAAAACAACAAGGAAACAGAAAAAAAATAAATCCAAACAACTCTGATTTCTATGATGTAGTCTCTCCACGGCAGACTTGCATGCATCTTGAAGGGATGTGCATGAGAAGCAAGAAAAATAGGATGGATGAAATTGAGTGGAACAGACCACAGAAAAGAAATATGGAGCACAGATATGATAAGAATGGAGCTCTGAGAATGCAGAGGTACATCTGTGTCACGCAACAGTGAAAAGTAAGCCAAACAGAGAATTATTACACCAAATCAGATGAAGCTTTCAACTAGCCTTGTATTTGTTCTCCAACATCTGCCAATACAAATGTTTACAGAAAGAACACAAGAAACTTGGCAAATATATTCTTCTAGTAATGTAGCCTACTAGCTTTTGGAAGTCACTATTTAGGGTATTTTGGACAGGAGAATAGTCTCCTGTTCAAAACAGGGATTCAGTAGGCCTCTGTGAATGTTTTTTCCTTCATGAATTTATTTTAATCCATTTAGAACTAATTAGCATTTCTTGCATTTTTTTTCCTTTTCATTGAACCAATTTGCTTTTTTGACTTCCACAACATTCTTTATATGTTGCTTCATTAGGCTTCAGCTTTGAAGGCTTTATATTCTAGATTCATGTGTCAACATTATTCCTTAATTGTGTATAGGACACATAAGCGCAATTTTGAATCTCTGCTTCATTTCCTCAGGGTATAATAGGACTAATAGTACCTCCCGTCTTACCACGGTGGCTTCTAAATTGTGTAGATTTATAAAGGTGCTTTATTTCCTATAATGAAAGTCATATAAGAATTTGGATTTCACACATGCTGTTTCAATCTATAGTAATTTAAATACTGCATGTAAACATCCATACATGCATACACACCAGCATATGTATGTCAGTGTATACAGTGTATACACATATCCTACTTTTTCTACAAATCTTCAAATTACATTATTGGGATTCTAATACATATTTTTTTTATTTGTATTTTTGTTTTTTAAAAAATAACGTTTAAAAACCAATAGACAAAAACAAAAAATAGATATTATCCATTATTTATTGATATTTCATAGGGATTTATTGAACACGTCTTTTATGTTCCAGTTTAAAAAAAAATTAAAATGTTGGCATATCATAGAGAAACTGAAGACTTGTCTTTTTTTTTCAAGATAATTGGCTGAAGATATGGCTCACTGTTTCATCCTTATCCTGCATCTCTTACAAGAACGATTACATGAAAATCTTTCAAACTCCTCTTCCCAACCAAATCATCCCAGCATTTTTATGTAGCCTGATTAAGCGATTTATCTCTAAAGTACTCTTTCAATATCACAGAACCCTTTGAGAAAATGCTTAATATATTTTATCCTTGAAGGTATAGTATTTTCTGATGAAATAAGCAAGATTTAAAGATATTCACTTCATTAAAAAATGCTGTGCTATCTTTAAGCAGTATGCAAAAAAAAAAAAAAAAGATTTTACCTTACTTAACTGAATGCCAGAGCTCCAAAAATTTCCCTAGGTGTCACAACAACTACACTGTAAGCAAATTAGAAGATGACCCTGCCTCCTCTAAAATTCTGGAAGAGAACTCTAAAATTCTGCAAAGAGAAAATTCCTCAGCTTCAAGATAAACAAAATAAAAATTATTTAAATTTTAACAAATAATAGTATTATATACTATTAATAACTTCCTGTTATTACTTTAAGATTCATTCAAATGCCTCAGTTAATTCCTCTCTTACTAGCCAGCCATAATCTGTTGCATCTTTTATGTCGTAAGACATTGACAAGAAAAGTAAAACTATACCCTTTTGGCCTGTCCTGATGTAAATTAATTTAGACAAACAAACACTACTTTGCATTTGCAACAGACTAAGACCATGCAGAAAGTCAGTTATGACATCCTATTAACTCAGTCTCAGATATTATTGCTTTTTTTTTTTTTTGCACATAATGTACAGAAATGAAAATCCGTTAAGTTAGTTAAAGCTGTCTCACTGTAAAACATAAATTTTACCTCATACGAACTTGGAAAAACATAAGAATAAACAAACATATTTCTTGTTCAAGCATGACTATTAATTGGGTCTGAATCAAATCTAGACAAAGCCACAAAGCCCTAATCAGATCTAAGTTTAGGTATCTTTTAAAA